TTTGCGTTTGGGTGTGTGCGCGTGTATGTGCGTGTGTGCGCGCGCGCGTGTGTGTGTGTGTGTGTGTGTAGGCACATGTGTGAGTGTGTACGTGTGTGGGTTCGTGGGTGAGCGGACGGGCGGGTGTGCATGTGCATGGGTGGGCGGATGTGATGGTTGGGTGGGTGCATGCATGTGCATTTGCTGCTGCGCATCCTCGATCACCAATGCAGGCGCCAAAGCTAGCCATGGCTGGACTGCTGAGGGCCAGCCCCCTTCTCCCCCGTCCTGCCCCCTCCCTGCCCCTCTCCCAGGTCTTCAGCCTGCTCAACCTCATAATTGAGCGGCTGGGCCCGGACGTGCGGCCCTTCTGTGACGGCATCCTGCAGCTGCTGCCACGCGTGTGGCAGGCGGCCGAGGGGCAGAGCCTGCTGCGGATACAGGTGCGGCCGCCGCGCGACACCACCCAGCCCAGCAGCGCGCAGTTGCGATGGCCGCAAAACGCGCCCTATGCAGGCAGCTCAGATTCGGCCTGATCCTCACGTGCCGATGCACGCAGGTGGCAGCTTGCTCTCTTGTGAACCCTGCTTATGTCACATCCACGGCTCCTTTCGTGCAACTGCCGCTGCAACCAACTGCACCCATGAACCGTTGTGATCTGCCGCAGGTCCTGGCGGCGCTTCAGCTGCTGATCAACGTGCTGGGCCCAGACTCCCCCGCGGCATACCCCCTGCTGGTCCCGCTGCTGCAGCACTCACTCGACGCGGGCAGCAGCAGGTGGGGGGCGGGAGGAGGGCTGGAGGGAGGGGCCGGCGGCCGCTGCCGGAGGCGCCGGGTGGAGGGCCGCCGCTGCGGACGCAGGGGTTGCCGCGGCGGTGGAAGGCACGTCGGGAAGGCGCGGCCAAAACAGGAGGGGGGCGGTGCACCCCAGACTCGCCCGTGCTGGGCTCTGCCTCGGCTGCCTTTAGATGCGGCTTGACCACTGCAGGCGCCCTTTATTTGAATAGGCGTTTAGGGTTTAGGGTTTGGGTTTAGGATTTAGGGTTTGGGGGGGGGTTAACAAGGCCAGCAGCAGTAATTTGACTGCTGCTGGCCTTGTTCCCCGCTTCTCAACCCATTCACCCCCCAAGACCCTATTCTTGCCAAAATTCACACTCTCGCCAACACCTCCCACTCGTGCCAAAGCCCAACTCGCGCCACTCCCCCAACTCTTGCCACGACTTCTGAGTCGTTCTAAAACCCTCCGATCCCTGCTCTCCCCCAAACCCCCACCACCAAGGGAGCCTGAACTCCTGGAAGACGGGCTGCTGCTGTGGCTGGTCGCGCTGCGCAACGCGCCCGCGCCGCACGCGCCGCTCATCCAGCTGTTCCCGCTGCTGCTGCAGGCGATGGCCTGCTCCACGGGTGGGTGTCTCAGGCCTGCTGGTCCGTCCGTTGTTGTTGTGAAAGGATTGACGTCGAATGATCGACACATGTCAAGACAAACTCTCCGTCTCTCCACTCTTGCACGCTGCTCCTTGGCTGCCGAGCGCGGCGCGGTCTAGCGGACGCCGCAGCTCAAACCCGGGGCCCTCGACCCTCCTGCATGGGCCCCGCACGCGCCAGCCGGCCCGCGCGCCACGCACAAACAACCGGCATCAACGTACCCGCGCCAGCGCGCCGGCCCCACCCTCGCAACTTCTGGCTCGTCTTCTTCCTTCTCACCCAATGATATGATCGACCGCGCACGTCACACCCGCAGAGTACATCCGCGCCGGCCTCCAGATCGTCTCGAGCCTTGTCCTCCTCGGCGGCGCCCCCTTCCTGCAGCAGCACGGCCCCGCCCTCGCCGCCATGCTCGCGGGCTACATAGGCACCGTCAACGAGCGCGGCACCCTGCTGCTGCTGCCGCCGCTCGACCTGCTGCTCTCGCTGTTCCCATCGGAGGCGCCCGCCCTCCTCGCGCCCGCGCTGCGCCGGCTCCTCGCTCTGCTGCTCGGCGGCGGCGAGCCGCCGGGCGTCGTCGCGAATGGGCTCGGCGTCGTCGCGCGGCTGCTGCTGCAGAGCCCGGACGGCTTCAGGCAGCTGCTGTTCTCGGCTGCAGCAGACGCGGCGGGGAGCGACGGCGCCGCGCCGGCGGACGGGCTCGAGCGGCTCGTGGGTGCCCTGGCGGGTACGTGGGCGGAGCGGTTCGACTCAATAGGCCTGCCGCTCGCGCGGAAGCTGTCGGCGCTCGCCCTGTGCGCGCTGCTGGCGCTGCCGACGAAGGCGCAGCTCGCGCACGCGGCGGCGATCGTGGGCCACGTCACCGCGGTGTGGCACGAGGTGGAGGCGACGGGTGACGCCGAGGCGGACGGGCTGTACTGCAGCCCGCTGTACGACGCGCCGCGCGGCGACGACGGCGGGTGGGGCGGGGAGAGCCTCGCGCTGTCTGAGGAGGCGGCCGGCGAGGCGCAGCGGCGGGCGGCGGTGAGCGGTGGAGCTTTGGCACCCCGGAGGGAGGGGAGCGGGGAGCCTGACGGGGCGGTTTTCGCCGGCATGATTGTGAATTGTGCGACGTTGCGATCGTGCATCAAAGCACGCACACGTACAGCCGCAAGCGCACATGCACATGCACGCATGCACGCATGCACGCATGCACGCACACACACACACACACACACACACACACGCGCGCGCGCGCGCACACACACACACACACACACGCACACACGCGCGCATGCGCACACACGAGCATGCCGGCTCGCACACACACTCTCACGTCCCGCACCTCTCTGTCTCCCAAAACCCATGTGGCGCCAGATGTCGGAAGCGGAGCCCCTGCGTCGACTCAGAATCAGCGCCTTCCTGCGGGACCAGCTGGCCGCCGCGTCGGCCATCCACGGCGCAGACCTGCAGGCAGCCGTGGCCGGGGCCGGTGAGGGCCTGGGGCAGCAGCTGCAGGCCGTGCTCACGGCGGCGGGGTGAGACGCGGCCGCGCCGCTTCGGTGGCGATTGCTGCGGCGGCCCCCACATGCCATGGCACGGCATGGCGTTCGAGCTCGGCTCAGGGGTGGGGGTTCAACCCATGCACTGGAGGTGCCATGCACCAAGCACCAAACAACGCACCTGCCCATGCATGCGTGTGTAAACGCTGCCAGTGGTCGCATGGCTGCATCTATTAATCATGTGAAGTGCGCGGGTGGTGGGTGCAGCTGGAGGGTGGTGTCACAGCCTGGGCATGCCGAGCACGATCGTGATGACCAACAAGGGCGAAGGCGGCAAGTGCCAAGCGGGCAGGTGCCGAGTCCGTGATGAGACCGGCGGTGTGAGCAAAATGCCGTCCTGTTCTTGTCAGTCTGTAAGTCATAAGGCCACGCTAAGTTGCAGCATCACTGATAAACGTTTTGCACCGTCGCCCAGCGGTCCGGCCCAGCAATCTGGACAAGGTGCATGTGGTTTGCGGCTGCCTTTGGTGAAAAAGCCGTCACATTGCAGAAAAACTTTCAGATGCGTGGTTGGAGGCCAGCGGTGGCGCTGGTGATGGTGGCCTGCTGCCTCGCTGGAGCGCCTGCAACCACGGGTGAGTTGCAGCGCAAATGAATCAATACATAATTTGTTATAGATACGTGCTTGCGGTGTTCCAGGGAACCGGCCAGGAGGGGCGGGTGACACTGATGCCTCGTTTTCGGCACATCCATCAGGCCTCTTAGCCTTGCACGTCACCTCGAATGGTGAAGTTAGCCTCCAAATTTTGCTTTGGAGTGGCGATTGGTACAGCGAACATTGCAGGTGCAGGCCCCCTGTGCCGCTGCACTTGCGCTGCTGACGACACAGTTGTTGCCGCACCCTCCTGCGCCCCCAATCGTGGCACAACCCACAGCTCAACCCGCAGCTCAACCAAAAGTCTGTGCCTGCAGCCGGGAGCTGAAGCCAGTGTGTGCGGGGTGAGAGTGGCATGCCGGCTTTGGGATGGCGGCAATGGGCGGCACGCAGGCAGACAGTGCATGGCTGAAATGCAGGGATGCGGGGTACCGCTGCCAGGCGGTCCAGCAGACTTCAACTCATGCGGATGACTACTGCTTGCGGCGGCTGAACAATTGTGCATTGCAGCGCAGCTCATCGGGCCTCTGCACGGCACCCGCCGCGCACGAACGAACCACACAGCACAGGTGTGCCCCTGCCCCTGTCGCGGCGCTCACCCCTCGCGCTTCCCAAACCAGGGGCAAGCAGTTCAGCAATATCTGCCTGGCAAAGTGTGAGGGCTACCAGGTCATCAGCGACGGCCCCTGCAGCTACAACAGCGGCGCCGCCGTCAGCGCACCCGGCGCCGCCGCCGCAGCCGCACCTGGCTCCGCGCGGCCCTGCGCCTGCCCGCTCGACTGGCGGCCGGTCTGCGCGTCCGCGGATGGCGGGAAGAGCTATCGCACGTACGCGAACGAGTGCGGCGCCAAGTGTGACAAGGCTGCGGTGAAGTCGGCAGGGGAGTGCTACTCGGAGGTCGTCGCTGACGAGGACAATGATGGGGTGGCTGACAAGGCGCCGCCGGGCGCGGCGCCGCCGGGCGCGGC